CCACTTAGGGGCAGAGGAAGTCATTTGTCCAGGAGCTTGGACTGTCTCAGGCATATGGCCATGAGTGGCAGTTTTATTTGGCTAGTGTCTACCCTTAGGGTTATTCATCCAAGGGTGTCTGGAGCCTTCAGAGAGCTGTGGATGAGCCAGGCTGTCTCCGTGCTTAGCAATTATTCTGTGGGCTGACCCCACTTCTCTTCCCCCAGCCCTCAGTTCCAGGTCTGCACTAAAGAGGGGTTCTATGTTTGCTACATTATTCAGTTCAAGTGTAACTCTGCAGTGACAGCAGTTCCGATTAGAATCCAAGAACAAAATGTGTGTTTGTTCATGGACCAGCTTATATTCCAGGTGGCTGTTATGCACTGTGGGTAGAGTCATGGTGATGATGATGATGATGATGGGGATGATGGATGACAGAGATGATGGTGGTGGTCGTGATGAAAATGGTAATGGTGATAGTGATCGTGGTGGTGATGTTGATGAGGAGGATGGTGATCTTGATAATGGTGATAGTGATGAGAATGATGGCGGTGGTTAGCATTGGCTGAGTCTTCACTGTGTGCCAGGCACCATTCTGTGCACTTAAATACATTACCTTGCAGGAACAAGGCTTCAAGCCATAATGCTGATGGCTTTGGATGCAGGATATTGTGGTTTCAGGCTAGTCTAAGCAAATAGTTATCAAGACCCCATCTTAAAAGCCACAGAACATGTAGGGGAGAAGATCTTCATCTGAGATCCTATCTAAAAATAATAATAACAATAATAACTAAAGTAAAAAAAAAAGCTGGGGTAAAACTCAGGTAGGACCTGAGTTCAAACTTTAGTCCTGCCAAAAATTAAAAATTAAATTGAATTTAAAAAAGCATCGCCCTTCCTTTGCAGTCTTCTCAGCAGTGTCTGAGGCGGGTGAGCGAGGTTCACCGAGGCTGAGTGACCTGACCAAGCTCAGACATGCACAGGATGAGCAGGTCCTGACTCAACCACAAGCTACCAGCAGGTCACAACAGCAAAATGCAGAAAGCACCATGAGGACACGTCCAGGGCCGGCAGTGTCAGTGTTCTCACAGAGCCCTGGTGATTGTCCTGTGCGTGTCATGGGTGACAGCCAGCCAGACCGTTGACATGGGAGTGAATTTCCCAACTACACACACACACACACACACACCACAGCCTGCTGCTGTGACCATGCTGCCGATGGCTTCCACTATACACTCCATGGTGGGCCCTGACCTTCCCCATATGTCCACGAGGACTGGATCCAAACCTGTCCTCTAGCCCTGGGGAAACTGAGCCTTGTAGGCTTTCCCCTGAGAGCCAAGAAGGTGTTTCTCTCACATCTGGAATTGGAGTAGTCCCCACCAGGAAAGACATCCCACAGGGAGAATCCCTCAACAGTACTTAATGGCATGGTAGGAAACGGGAAAGCACCCCAGCATCAGAGGGAATAGGGCTGGAAAGCCAATGTATTTGTGGTTGACAACGAAAGAGGCAAAAGTTTGCCTTGACCGTACAAACAGGAAGTACGTGATACAGATGAAAGCCAGGATGCAGGCAGTCCTGGACCTGAAGGTGAGAACTGCCCTGAATCTGGGGACAGGGCTCAGGACCGGGAGTTACTCTACAGGCCTGAGAACCCCAGCCATCTGGCAGGACACACAACGGGGGGGGGGGGGGGGGGGGTGAGACCATTCCTGCCTCCATGGTGTGTGATCTGTTTCCTGCCTAGAAAAAGGGGCCTTGGTCTACAGGAAACAGCTGGGTAACTAACAGGCAGAGGCGGAAGCTTTGTAAATGGTCGATTAAGTACACGTGTCCATTGACCATTCTCCGAGTGAGTGTCAGTCTTGGAAATGATAACAAGTGACAGGGCAGGTGGTAACAGTGACAATTGGTGTTCAGAGGCACTGCCGAGGGAAAGATGTGGATTCTTGGGACAAAATTCAGCTTGGCCTCCTCTAATGTATCGGAATGAGCCTATGAGGGCTTTAGCTGCCTTGGGTCTCGTTCAGACCCCATTAGAGGCTGTACCTGTGCCGCATGAAGGCCCCAGAGACAAGCAAGTCTTTTCTCAGGCAGGAACACCTGATTTATGTTATTCATTTGTGTAGCCAGCCAACCAGGGTTTATTGGACAGCTATTGTGTGGCAGGTCCTGTTGTAAACGGGGTGATTACAACTGTGATAAACTCAGTAAAGGAGATGTACATGGTACTATACGAGCCTATAATCCAGACTTATAAGCTAGATAACCAGCTCAATAAGGATCCCTGATGGAGATAACCTGGTCAAACCAAGGCAGTTTTGATTATTGAGATCCAAAGAATGAATAGACACTAACTAGGCCAAGAGAGGAATAGGAACAACTCAGGCATGAAGGAAGAGTCTATGAACAGACCCCACTGCAGGATGGAAAAATGGCCCATGTATCAGTTAGCTTTTGCTGCGTAACAAGTCACTCCAAATCTTCAGTGGCTTAAAATAACCTCCATGTTTTAATGTTGAGGGTCAGGAATCTCTGTGGGCTGAGTCAGGTGCCTCCAACCACCTAGGCTAAGTTGTGGTTGACATTGGGTAAGGCTCGTTGGTGCCTAGGCTTGTGGTCTTTGGTTCTCTAGCAGGCCGCCTTGGGTTTCTTACCTATAGCAGTCAGAAGCATCCAAGAGGCAGCTTGATTCACATTTGCTCCAGTCACAAGGTAAGACCCATGGCTAAGCGTAGAGTACAGTGTGGGAGAATGCTACTGCCAATGTGGTACAGGGAGACATGAACGAATTGAGAGCTGTGGCTGCAAAAACTGACCACAGGGTACCCAAGGAGCTGTAAAACCAATGTGGAGGAGTGGGGAATGGAGAGGTACTGTTTCAAGGGCACAGACTTTCAAAGAGCTATCAAGATGAGAAGTGGTGATGGTCGTACAATATTAGGAATGTATTTCATTAACTGTACACTTAAAATGGCTACAGTGCCATGTTATGCATATTTTACCACAATTGCAAATACAAAAAGGAAATGGCCTACCTTAATTAAGCTGCTATTAGCTAAGGCATCTCTTCCCTCAGTCAAATCAACGTCCTCTTGGCTCATATATAAGAGATCCCAGGAGGCTGTGTCCTCAGAAAGCCTTTCTGAGGACTGAGCAGGTCCCCCAAGCTGCCATGACCAGGCACTCCGTTATTCCAGCCAACAAAGCTGTGATCTCCAATACCTCAGTGACCAGCTGTTTTTCTTGGAAAAGGAGCTGTTGAAGCTGTTCGGATGAACCTGATAGTCTTGCCAAAGGCTGGGAGAGCAGTCAACACAACAGATACTTCACCTGCCCAGGAAACCAGGAAAAATCATCCCATTTGTTAAAATACCAACATACATCAGGCAGAGTGGCTCAGACCTACAAACCTCCAGAGGCAGAGATCTTGAGGATTCAAGTTTAAGGCTAAGCAAAATGTTCAGGAAATGTTATCTCAATCAATTAAAACAAAAAACCTGGCATGGTGATGTGTGCCTGTAATCCCAGCTATGTGGCAAGTGTACATAGAAGGATTGTAACCCAGAGTAGTCTAGGCCAAAATGTCAAGAGCCTGTCCAAAAAAAACAACAAAAAGAAAAAGGCTGGAGGCAGACTCAAATGATAGGGTATCTACCTGGCAAGGCCCTCAGTTCAAACCCTGGTACAGAAAGAAAAGAGAGAGAGATTGGAATTGTTGATGATAATCCTCTGACTTGAGCCATACCCTGCCCTATTGTTCTCCTCCCTCCCCCCCCCCCCCAGCTACCCTGCCCCAGAGCACCCACCTGAGGAAGGAACCAATTGGCTCAGGAAATCCTCAAGCCTTTCTTTCTATTACTGTGCACGCTCCCTGCCACTTGGTAAACACTTAGATCACCCTGGCTACCAGGTAAATGGTCTCAGCTGACAAAAAGGGAATCTGAACCTGAACTCCCCCGCCTACCCCACCCCCTGCAAAAAAAAAATCAGTGTGAATTGATGAGGCTTATTCATGGTTACCTCCTTCCTCCTCTTGCCCAGCCCTGGGCCACTCTGGCTCATTGAGATCATCTCCACTGTCACACTCAGACATTATTGCACACTTTTATTTACAGAAAACACAGATAAAGCATTGCAATGTTCATTTTAGCAAACTGATCCACTTTTTTTTCTTTTTCATTTTTTCTTTTTTGGCACAAAGAAATATTACAGATGGACCCCCAAGATCAATCAGAAACTTTAAAAGATTCAGCAGTCACCACTGGCTCCAGGGCAGCCACAAGACTCAGACAAACAAACAGCATCATCACAGACTGGCAAAAAACAAATAATAATAATAAAATAAAATAAAAATCAACGTAAGTCCACGTTCACCTCACAGTAAAAACCTGCTCACCGACAGGCAAGGGTGGGCAGGAGGGGCAGCTGCTCTGCTCCAGGGGAGAAAGTGGGAAGTCAGGGTCAGGAAGCCAGAATGGGGTGGTGGGATTGGGGGGGGAGGAGGGCAGGGAAGGATAGACCCCTTTCCGAAACTAGAGAAGAGGTGGTCCTTTGCTCGCAAAACTACAAAACACCCCCGAACCACTCATCCACACAAAAAGAGCTCACGTTGTGTTGGGGGGCCTCTCCCCTCGTGCCCCTGTGAACGTGGGCAGGGGGAGCTTGTAAACATGGTCCACACCGAGCCCCCCACACCCTTGCGTCTGAACGGGGCGGGGTGGGGCCGTACCCCTACTTCGCAGGGGCCCTCCAGAGACATAGTGCAAATTTCAGAGACAAAAAAGGGGGAGCAAAGGGGGAGGGGAAAGGGGAGAAGGACTCCCCCCTCCCCAGGGCAGGGATGGGGAAGAGACACAAAAGGCAGGATGGGCGGAGTGGAAGTGGGGTACAGAGGGGGCCGGGGAGCGGGGATAATAAGGCAACAGTTAAAAATGGTCCGTGTGATCCAACCCGGCGCCGCGCGCCCCCCACGCGCACCCCCTCCCGGTGCCCCCCGGCCCCCGCCCCGCACCCGGGTCACAAGAAGGGGCGGAAGTCCCGCTCCTCCACCAGGCTGACGGCGGGGTTCTTGAGCTCCTCCTCCGAGGCGGCCATCCTGTACCCGAGCTGGGCCAGCACCTGCCGGCAGGCGTTCTGGGCGAAGGCCACGATGTCGTAGGAGAGGCGGAAGCGCCACTTCTCCGCGGTGGCTGCCGAGTTGCGCACGGTGCCGTATTTGTGCTTGCCCAAGGCGGGGTCGCCCCGCGTGTTGTTCTGGATCCAGCGGGCCACGTGGCTGTCCAAGGGGATGCCCAGGAAGCCGTAGATCTCCTCGGTCTTCTTCATGGGGTTCCTGGCCAGGTCCTCGTAGCGCACCAGCATGTACTTGCCCTTGAGCCAGGCCGGGCGCATGAGGCCGGTGGACACGGAGTTGGAGAAGTCCTCGCACACCGTGGTCAGCTGCGACGCGTCCAGGTTGTAGGGTTTGCGCCCCGTGCCGTACCACAGTCGCCACAGCCGGTAGGTGTCGCGGAAGGTCTCGCTCCGGGAAGCCAGGATGCCCCGCGGGTCCCGGACCAGCTGGATGACCTTGAGGTTCAAGCGCGGGTCCTCCACCAGCGCGCGCAGGTCGTTCACCTCGGGCACGCGCACCGTCTTGATGGCCACGTGGCTGCGCTCCCGGCAGGCCTCGGCGGCCACCGTCAAGTTCAGCAGGCCGCACTTGCGCACACAGTCGCCTTCCTCCAGGACCTGGTCCGGGGAGCCCGGGGGGTCGCACACCGGGCGTGAGCACAGGACCCGGCTGGCCCCGCGGCGGAAGACCCGGTCGGTGGTGTGATTGATGGGAGGGGGCTTGATGTAATTCTCCAAGAAGTGGAGGTCACAGTCGTAGAGGCTCCTCAGGAGGTCGCGGCTGGCCCCCAGCATGACCCGCCGGTCCGCGGGGCTCTTGCCCTGGGTGAAGCGCGGGATGAGGGTGTTCTGGACGTGGTAGAGGGGCTCGAACAGGTAGAAGACGTCCAGGTGCTGGTTGAAGAGCTGGCCCACGAAGGAAGAGCCACTGCGGGTGGTGGCCAGGATGAGGACGTGGGTCTTGCGGGACAGGTTATAGAAGGTGGGGCCCTCCTCGCATAGCCGCTCGGTCACCCCGGCCTCGGCCAGCCCCGGGCAGGTGTGGAAAGACTTGGCCGTGAAGGTGCGGATGGCCGTGTACTGGATGGCAATGGAGGCCAAGGCGAGGAGGAGGACGGCCTTCCAGGAACATTGCATGGCTGGGCACCTTCATGGGGCTGCCACTCCAGATCTTGAGGTCTGTGGGCAGGAGGGGGCGGTGGGGAGGAAAGGGGTCAGGGTGGGTGGGGTCTCTCACCAGCCAAGGATCTGGGAAAGACCCAGGAAAACAGCTGTCTCCCCACTCCCGCTCAGAAACCCCACAAGCGCCCCTGAAGGCCTGACCAGGCAGCTTCTCCGCTGGGCTGACTGCCATTCTCTGCAGGACTCTTGGAAGCTTCAAACATTTGAACAAACTGATCCCTTGCACTCTTGCTGACACTCCCTCAACTCAGCCTTCCCTTTGGCTACCACCTGCTACCTACTTCCCCAGGTGGACATCTTCTCTGCCCTCTGCTCAGCCCAAGGGAAGAAGAGGACCCACCTGGTCCTTTGTGATCCCAAGTCCCCAGGCAGCATGCACCTCTGCACCCCAGGGTTGGTGAGCAGCCAGCAGCAGCAGCAGCTCATCCATGCCAGCTAGACCAGAGATGGTAGGCCATTTGTGCCAAGCACCCTCCAATGTGTGACAGAGGGTGACATTTCCGGAAGTGGGCTGCTGGGCTCCTACTGGGTCTTAGAGCAAGGGTGGGGTCCCTGGGCCACGAGAAGCAACCCTCCCCACAAGCAGGGTTAGTCCCTGTGGGAGATGCTTCCCTCCAGCATAGCGACCTGGCCTGAAAAGATCTCTTAGTCCAGGGAATTGAGACCTCACTCCTCCTTGCCAGTCTTCCTGTTCTTGGCCCTACAGACCATCTATCCACAGAAAGGAAGACAGGAAGAGACTTTTCCTAGAGCAGGGCAGGGAAGTTCGGATCAGGACTCCAGGATATCCTGCAGGTGTCCCCCACATGGAGGAGCTCAGCTGCCAGGATCTGAGAAAGCACCAGGGTGGTTCTCATTGCTGAATGCCAGGAGGTTCAACACTTACCAAAGAGGGGCCGCTCCACGCCGGGGAGTCTCCGCTGCCAGCTCCCTTGGTCTAGCAGGCAGCCAGCCAGCACTGCAAGCCTGTGCAGCAGCCCTGGGGTCAGCAGGCTACAGAGACAGAGGCAGGGCTATGAGGGCAGGTTTGGGTTCTGTGTCCCCCCCTCTCCAAGTCTTCTCTTCTGCACTCTGCTGCCTACAGTCTGCCCCCAGTGTTAAGGCAATGAGGATCTTACCTCCTCTGCTTCCCCCCAGATTTATCAATAACTCAGGATGCCAACAAACTCAGTGCCATGTCTGTCCCTGAACCTGGCCTCCTAAACTCTAGACTATATCCCTCTTCTCCACCTCCCTCACTTCCCAACAAACCACAGTCCTGCTGCTCACACCTGGGCCCGGCGGGCAGGAGCTGGCTGGCCTGCATGCACAGTTGACCCATCATGAAAGCCCAGATCAGTATTGCATTTGAAATCAACAAAACAAGCCAGGCTTTTTAGAATTCAACTTGTTCAGTGACTTGGGGATGGTGGGGGTGGGAGGACTCACCCTAGATTTCCAGGTCCAAAGGGAGACTTTGAAAAGACAGCTAGCCAGAGGGCTTCTTCCAACCACACCGAAGAGAAGACAGCAGCTACCTAAAATCAGATGCAAGAAATGAACTGGAGGCATTCCTGACCCTGAAACGCTTTGCCAAGTCTGAGAAGACCAGGATGGCTGGGGTGTGTGGTTCTGGTGGTAAACCACCTGCCTAGTAAGCCCAGGGCTCTGAATTCAAACCCTAGTACCTAACACTAATATTGATTGAGCATTTCATCTCTGTTAGCTGATCTCTTTCCTCAAAATCTATATGGCATGGTAAGAGGACCTGCCTGAGCTCACCACCTGCTCTGTGTATGTGTGCGTGTGTGTGTATGTGCTCTGTGTGTTTGTGTGTGTATGTGTGTGTGTGTACCAAGATTTTGAACTCAGCCTCCCACGGTGCTCAGCTTTCTTGTTCACAACTGGCACTCTACCACTTGAGCCATGTTTCCAAGCCTAGCTTTTGCTGGTTAGTTGGTGATGGAATCTCAAGATCTTTTCTGCCCCAACTAGCTTTGGATGGGTGTCCTCCAACATTTTTTTTGGAGGGGGGGTCAGTCGTAGGGCCTGAACTCTGGGCCTGGCGCTGCCCCACAGCTCTTCAGCTCAAGGCTAGCACTCTACCACTTGAGCCCACAGCACCACTTTCAGCTTTTTCTGCCTATGTGGTGCTGAGGAATCAAACCCAGGGCCTCATGCATGCAAGGCAAGCACTCCATCACTGAGCCACCTTCCCAGCCCTGGATGGATATCCTCTAGGTCTCAGCCTCTTGAGTAGTCAGGATTACAGACAGGAGCCACCACCACCTGGCTTTCCCATCTGCTTTCACCCCCAACAGAGCCCATTTTCTTTCTCCAAGGCTTTCTGTTCCTTAACCTTTAAACATGCATGTAATGCATGGCCCCACAGCCCACTAGTGAATCCATGCAAGAGCATGGAACATCAAAAGGCGGGAGCTGAGCCTGTTTGAGACTCGAGTCTGTTCTGTCCCCATGCTATGTGGTCTGAGCCTTCATTAGTTCATGAAGGGTAAACTTAGGTACTTTTCAAATATCCTTCCCATGACTTATGGTTTGCTGTGACCCCTTTGGGAGCCAGCTGAGTGCATCCTCACTCCCCAAACCTGTACACCTGCCTGGATCAGCTCCCTCAGTGTCTAGCACCAAGGTCTTCAGTCCCATTGTTTGGATAGAGAAATTAAGGCCCAGAAATAAACAAATAGGTATAAACAAATTAGAACCGGCAGAGACTAGAGTCTGTCTGGGTCAGATCCAGGCCGAGGCTCTGGTCTCTCTACCAACAGCTGAATGTGCCAAGTGCAGCCTTTGCCACCTTGCAGAGGGCACAGAGCCTGGGCAGAGATAGCAATGGGTCCTGTCTATGATCGGAAACTTGGTCATCTACAGGAACTGGTACCGGGTTACCAAGTGGTACAAATAGAGAAGGGGGCAGTCTCGATGTGTAGTCCACCCCATCCCACCCTGACTTAGCCCACGGCAGCAGAGGAGGCCACTCCCCTAAGGTGGGGCTGGAAAGAGCCTCTCCGCTTGATTCCTGCCCCTGCTACCAAGCACAGGCCTGCCATACCCACGTGACCAGGGATAAACACCGGAGCCCATCCAGAAGCAAAACAGGCAGCAAATGCCTGCAATAGCAGGGTCAGTAACAATTGTGTTCTGACATCTTTACCCACAGAGACCTGTCAGCTATCCAAGATGTCAGGCCCAGGCCCACACACTGCAGAGAAAAGAAAACCAGGGAAGGCCAGACATGCTCTCACCCCACCCTCACCACAGGCTGTGAAGCCCCAGATCATTTATCTGCTGGATGTACAATCTGGTTCCATTGGTATTTCAGCCCCTTGCTCCCCCACCCCCAAGACAGAAAATGAACCCTTAGACTCTTCCCCGAACTGTAGGGTTCCAGTTCTAAAGACAGAACACACCCTGGATTGTCTTCACAAAAGACTACTTTGGGCTGGGAAGGTAGCTCAGTGGTAGAGCGCTTGCCTTGCATGCATGAAGCCCTGGGTTCGATGCTTCAGCACCACATAAGTAGAAAAAGTCAGAAGTGGTGCTGTGGCTCAAGTGGTAGAGTGCTAGCCTTGAGCTGAAGAGCTGAGGGACAGTCCCCAGGCCCAGAGTCCAGATCCACGACCAACAACAACAAAAAAAAAACACCTTATCCAGGAGGACACCCCTAATTTCCCTATTTTGCCCAACCTAGAGAAGCAGAAGGCTAGGATACAAGCTGCTGCTCTGATCGGTAACCTCAGCCTCTTTACAACAGCCAGGCTCCACTTCGCAGGGCACAGCTCAGGCACCTTGGAGAGGAGGATGAAGGCCGAGCCACAGGCTGCCATCTGCCTCCCAGGGAGGGCAAAGCCAGGGCACAGGGAAGGGAAGGTGGGGCGAAGTCAGGATCTCCTGGAAGTGCCCCTGCTGTTCTGCCAGCCTGGCAGAGCTAGGCCTGGGGCTGGCCAAGTGTCTTTGTTATGCTCAAGGCATCTGCCCTGGAAACCAGCGGCCCCCCGGGACTTCCCAGGTCCTGTAGTTCCCAGCGAAGACTTGGCCATTGAATAAGACTCTTTCATGCTGTGGTCAGACTGACCCTCTAGGTCAGGCTGTGGAGCCCAGGCCCTTTTCTGGGTTTCCAGCAACCTCTTCCCTGGCCTCCTGCTACCTTGGTAGATCAAAGCGTGGTCACAGAAGCCCCAAATGTGTCTTTTCTGTTGGAAGGTGGGGGAACTGGTGAACTCCCAGGAGAAGGCTCAGACTTCCGGTAGTCCTCAGGGAGTAAGCGCTACACTGGAAAACTCGAATTCAGAATCCAGGGCTCTGTCTCTCAGCAGGTATGCGCACCTGGGTGACGGACCTGCTGTCTTTGAGCTTGCTTCCCCATCCAAAGAAGGAGTACACCCCTAGTTGAGCTGTTAAGAACTAGGTCAATAGCCAACAACTAGAAGGGATACCAACAATCTCATGGTTCGGTCATGGGTTCTGGCACCAGCTTTGTCGATCCCAGCAGCTCAACCATGTATAAGCTAAGGGACTTCAGCTAGATTTTCTTAATTTAGGTCTCTGTTTTCACATCTGAAAAAAAAATGGGTTTCATTAAAACCAGGCTGTGTGACAACTAGTTAGCTAATGCAGGACCTGGCACAGGAGAAGCAAGCAGTCCGTTGATGTTATCATCACTGGTGACAGCTTTGCTTGTCTTGGAGAAGCATCTCAGAACTAGTCATCCTGCAGCCCACAGGGTGAGATCTGACAGTGAGCCAGACCGATGCCCTGTCTCTCTCCCTTCCTTCTGCCCAGGGCCCTCTCCCTTAGGTGTTTTCCTTTCTGTGCTAGGCCACTGCAGTGGTTTTCCTGCTGCCCTCTGGTGGCCATATGCTATAGTGAGCTTCGTAGCCCTGCACCTCTGCTGTGTTTAAATTCCTGGCCTGGTGTCTGCAACTGAAGTAGGGTGGAAAGGTGGGGACTGATGTTGCAGGTGGTATTGTGGTGTGACAATGGCATGCCCACCTGAGCTATGGCCTCTGCTCTGTGCAGCCCCAGGGACCTCCTCAGCCCCACATCACGAGGAGAGCAGCAACAGGCAGCCTGGCCTCCTCCGGGGGCAGGGGAGAGAGCGCTGCACTGAATCACCAACAAAAAGCGCCCCAGCCTCGGCCTGTCCCCGACGGACGGAGTGATCTGACGTTGGGCTCAGCTGCCAACCTCTCATTTCTAGCTCTTTCCATAGAACCAGTGATGAAGGCCTCGGCCACCCACTACTGTCACCAAAAATGGGGAACCCTACATTAACAATCAGTTTCTAAAGAAATCGGTATCTCTGTCTCCCTCAGCCTGATCTGTGACTGCTCCCCAAGGAGCCCTACGTGGTTCCTGCTCTTCTCCATGCCCCACCCCTTAGAAACACAATCCCTCTTCCCCCAAAAGACTATTCCTTATGCTCACAATTACACACACACACACACACACACAATATCCAGAAGTGTCCTGGGCCTCCTGGAGCCCAGGCATAGGCCCTCCTCTCTTCCCTAGAGGCCAGACCCCCCCTTTCCTCCTTGACCTGCCTTGGGGTGGTCCTTTAGCTGTCTGGAGATAGGCTGGTGTAGACAGGCAGACAAGGGTGACAGGGGCACGAAGCTAGAGCCAGAGAGCAGGAGGTGAATGGCTGCCATCATTGCTTTGTTAAAAAAAAATAAAGAAAGAAGGAGGGGGTACATTTATATATTGCACACACAATCAAACACTGAAAGTCCTTGCCAGTTTACACACAGCTTCTGGGGCTCTCAGTGTAGCATCTTCAGTGAAGCCACCCCTGTGCAAGAGCTGGAGAGGCAGCTGAGGCCAGCGTGAGGCAGTGAGGCCTCCACTCGGCTGCCATCCTCCCCTCCCTGCTTTCAAAGCACCAGGCTGTCTCCTGGAGTTGTGCTCCCCCTGCGGGGGGGGGGGCAGTAAGGACAGAGTAGGGGCTGCAGGCTGTGAAGCTCCATTTGGAAAAATCACTCCTGTCCTAGCCTTTTCTCTCTAAAGTATTTTTCTAAAAAAACAAACAAACAGGAGGTGAAGGGAGGGAGGGACAGCAGAGGAAAGCTGAACTTCAGCTTTCTGGTGAGACGGGGAGCTGGGATGAGGGGGGACCCCTGGCCTGGGGTGCCAAGCATCAGAGCGAGGAGGGGGGAGGGGACTAGACAGGGAGGGAGGAGTTGGCTGGATGGAGACTGCAGGGGAGGAAATGCCTAATCCCAGGTCAGCAGTGGCCAACCCTAATCCACCATAGATGTTTGTTTAGTTAAGACTAACACACACACACACACACACACACACACTAGCAACAGCAAGAGCTTTTTTTTTTTTTCCTCTCCCAAGGAAAACAAGGTGATAAATAAGAGGCCAGGGGAAAACAAGAATATAAAATCTGAGAGACACAGGAACAAGATTAGCATATAAGAGCCCAGCAACTTGTAGACTACACATCTGGATCAGAGTTTCCCAGCAGTCGATGTGAAAAGAGAAAT